TGGATTGATGTAAATACAAGTATATGTGCATTACAATAAAAGGAGATTGAGAATTGATACACACAAGTATCAATCAATCAAGAAAAAGCCTCATTCCTCATTTGAACTACCACAAACAGACTCCCCAGACACACTGACTTCATCGTCACATGTGTCAGGAAAGTCGCTCTCTTGTTCAAATGAATTATCATACTTACTGTTTTGTTCAGATGAATCACAAATGTCACTCCCTAGTTCAGATGAATTATCATATGCACTTTCTTATTCAGATGAATCATAAAAGTCGCTCTTTTGCTCAGATGTCTCAGGCCTTGCTTCATCAACTGGTTCTCTGCATATCTCGGGCATATGTTCATCAATTGGTTATCTGCATGTCCTCCTATTGTGGAACTTATCACCATAGCACTTACAGAAGTACCCCCTGGTGTATTTTCTTTTTCTGTACGTCTCTGTTGTTTCTTTGTTTCTTTGATCTGCCAGGGAGCCACACTATCTTTGGGGGAGCACCACCCTATTGAAAACTCCAGACAAAGTAAAGTCATCCGGTATGAGATGAAATACAAAGGGAAAAAAACTATTACAGGAAGGCGGTTATGGTTTATAGAGGCAATAGCGTGATTGCATGGCAACCCACTATTCTTCCAAACCAAGCATGAGCAAAACCATTGATTCAGATCCATTGCATGCTTCCTATCTTTTAAGGATCTCATACTGCTTGCCCGACACCCATATAACAATGCAGAAAATGTGATTGATCAATCCATAAGTTTCTCTCTTTTTGTACTGATGGCACTAGAATATCGATCCACTTTTCTGCCTTCTGCCTTCTCTCCATTAACGTCACTATAATGCTTTCACATAATACAGTTATCAGCTTTTCTTGTTATTTACTATCCTACTGTTGAAGACCTGTACAAGATTTGACGTGAGTTGATGGTATCTCGGGACAAGAAAATATGCATTCGCATAGCATTGACGTGGATTTTTCATTATCCATTAATACTTATGGCATCAACTTCCTGAATTTTTGACATCTCGGCCTCGAAATCCTTTGGCCTCAATGCACGGGCGACATTCTAGAGCAATGCATGCCACTAGTATAAGATTCTTCCATCTCCTCTTAAAGTTTTCTGCCATATGACACATGCAAGACTACAAGAAGCCTACAACCATAAAAATATCCATACATCCATGGATGAAATCATAGAAACTAACGCTGCAATCTGTGGCGAGGATTTGTCAGTATATACACTACAGATTGGGGGTTGGTAAGTCATATCTTCTCTAGGTATAGGGTAGCTCTATATATGTCTGCCTATGTGACCCATGTATCATTTCAATCGCGATTTCTTTTCATCGCTACGCTTGCATATATGTCAATAGGACACCATTTTCCCGTTGAATATCATTAACAATATCTTTTGGAGCGAGATCCATCTTGTCAATTAGACGGGCTTTAATTTTTTTGGCAACCAACTGGCTACGTGCTAATGGCTTATGAGCCTTTTCAAGTGGACCTGTACATGTGTAATTTTTCCATCTTTCTCACCTTAAAAAATTTAGAAGGAGTATGTTTAGAGCAGCAAACTTCCCATTTGCGCCCCTTTCCAGTACAGTTTGCAACTGTACGCTCTTGATTATTTCTCTTATACTTCATGAAAAAATTTTTGACATATGGCATAATCAAACAAGTGATCTCAAAGAGCCCTGTCATTCTGAAAATATTGTTCAACATGCAGGTCAACTCGAGTGCGCATTGAAGTGCATGGAATGACCAATACATAATACTCATCACGGTCGGATCCAGTCTCTACATCGTCATCCGAGTCTAGCTCGCATTCATGTGCTTCATTTTGGATGGTAGGGACGGGCATTGGTTCAATGGGTTCCCTAGGAATGGCCAAAGAATTCAATAAGTATTAAATTCAGAAAATAAAATACCAACGTACTCGTACAAATCAAAATTATTACCTAATCCACATTGACGGACCATATGATGGATTTGCGTCATCAACTCTTGGTTGATGATCCATATGCGTTGGTTTACAAGATTGGTTTGAAACACATGTGAATACTAGAAGTTACTAGCAGCGTACATGTGACATCTCTATCCTCTTTTAATTCTAATAAATTGTCATTTTTTTGATATATAACTATCAAATTACTTAGGTCATAGAACATAATAGTTGCCATATGTGCCTTCAATCGTTCCAATGAGTGACCTTCCCCACACAATGTCTTTTACAGTCCCGCCCTTATAGTAAATTTTTCCATGATTTACATTTTGCTCGAAAAAACCACCACAACGGCACACCAGTCTAACTCTACCCATGGTTATAACTTATTCCTATCATTCAAACAAGAGGCTTGTACAGTCATTGTGAGGTAGCCTCGAAGAAAGACACCTTAACACCAACATAATAGTGTAACTACAATAAATTGCATTACGATTATTGCACAAAAGTGATTTTCAGCCATAAATTGTAGTTATGATTATTGCACAATAAATTGCATTTCGTTTGTCCCATATTCAATTTATGATTCCCGTGAATTTCGGTCATTTTTAAAGGTGTCATTACATATTGTAGAAACCCTACAATGCTTTTAGAATGAAAGCTAACATATAACAATGGAATCCATCTTTGAAAAACCAGATCATCAAAACTCAGCATTTAGATTTCCAAAAATTTGCAAATAGTGAGAAAAATAAAAGTAACTCTCTTAGTTTCTCATGGACTCAGGGTTGGTTGATTTTCCGTTACGCGTTTTAGTGATTTTCTGAAACTTGTGAGGCTGAGGGATGAACCCTAAAAGAACTCTTCAATGGAAAAGCCCTAATAGCATCCCAGTTTCTCAAAATCCACAAATAATAAAAAAACAAATAAAAAGAACTCACCTAGTAGGTAGTCAGATTCTAGCCGAAATCTCACTTCTATGGCCAAAAATCGTCTCTTGGATGCACGGTCCGGTCGACCATTTAGAGAGAGAAAGAAGGTTGTGAGAGATAGATGTAGAGAGAGAAAGAGGAAAAACGAAAACAAAAGTACTTTGAGGTTGCGATGTTTTTGTGGAGTAGTCCGAGGTGTCCATCATCATATCGCACTTTATGTCTCATAATTTGATAAAATATAGATCAAATATACCAGACCTCAGATTGCTTAGCATCAGTTAAAGGATTCTAACCTCATACGGCCCAGGCACTATCCCTAAAGCTTGGGGCACTGCCCTACTAACAAAAAAACCTAAAAAATTGAAAATTCGGTCTGACAATGGAATACTCAGACCGAAAGATATTTTTAAAAAAGATAAAGGTATTTTTGAAAAACATAAAAAAGAAATCTGATTGAACAACCTTCTTTGTAATTTCCACTTACAAATAAATAATTTAGTATTTTGAAAAAACATTTAGGATGTGTAAGTACTCGTAATTTTAAAAGATGAAATATGCCAAAAAAAGTAGCAAGTACTCATAATTTTAAAATATGAAATATGTTAGAAAAGTTGCCCAACTTAATTTAGTTGGTCAAATAGGTAAGATTGGCCAGTTGACTGGTCAAACTTTGGTTTTTACTAGTTTTCAACCAAATCCAGCTTTTACTTTGGATCAGATCAATGACGGCACTATCCGATGATTTCAATGGTCGAACCAAGTTGGCCAAGTCCGGTCTTCGTAACTATTATCTGGAATATCTATTCTTGTGAAAGAGGTTCAATTAAAGGAATATGCTTGGAATAGGTCTCATTTAAGAAGTGGGGTGAAACCCACACCACTTGATTGGTTCATCAAACGAAATTCATGGTCCAAATATGTTCATGGATCGTGTAAACCATCTTACTTAACCTTGTCAAATTGTCGGATCAAAGATTCAGCACTTCTAGCTTATTTAATGCTAGTCGATTTGACACTAGGCCTATAGAAATACGTTCACTGATTTTCATTAATAGGGTTGGTTCAAGTGCTTTAGTTTTAAAAAATTAAACAATGGAGAACACGTGGGCGTCTAAGGTTTTAATGGCTTTTGCAGGTTCCCAAAGAGACTTAATTGAAGCAAGGATGTTTCTAGATTTTGACACCAATTTCTCTCATGGGTTTTCATTGCCCTCATCAAAGAAGACATAATATTTCTACCATTTACAGGGTTTCATAGATTTCCTGCAGTTTCTGGTGGTTGGCCATTGTTTTAGAGCTCAACTGTAGAAAGAAACCAAGTAAGAGGAGATGCAGTCAGAATTTTGTTCAAATTCTCAACTAGTTTGGATTTCTAAGACAGTAAAGAGTCAAAATGTGGGTGATTTTCAAAAAATGCCAGAAAATTGACATCCAGATTATTATTAGAGTTGACATGTACTTTTGCATCCCTTAGATTAAACTATAATTTGAGCAAGCGAACCAATAGGGGCCTCTTGCAGCTCAAGTAGTTTTTGGTGAGTGGTATAGATATGTGAGTAAATTATTTATTGGGAAATTCATCAAAATACGCCTTACATTTCAACTATTTAACATTTTACCTTGGCTGTATTTTAATAAAAGTCAAAAGCTATTTTGATATGTCATTCTATGGGCTATTTGAAATTTGATAAAAGAATGGTAGGAAATTTGAAATTAGATAAAAGAGCAAATGTAAGATGTTAAATAATTCAAAATCACAGGTGTAATATGATAATTTTTCTTTTATTGGAGGGGACTTTTGGGGGTACTTACGGTTGGAGAGAATTTGCTGTGAGGTTTCATTGGGATCTTGTCATCTAAGATGTCATGGGTGGTCCAAGTCAGTTCCTAAATGTGATCGGTTAATGAACTCAAAGCAAGAACCGAAAGGTTTTGAAGGTTTGTGATATAGGCGCTTCATTAACAGAGAATCACTTTTATGTTTAGGTCATGTGTCATATTAGGATACCAAACCAATTTGAATGAACAGAATGCAAATGATAAATTCATTTTGACAGCTATACGAAATAAGAAAGTCCTTTTCCTGGATCCGAGCTATGAAAGGAACTTAGGATGCCAAACCAATTTGCATGAACGGAATACAAATGATACAATGGATTGCCAAGGTTTTGGAGGTCTGCAGTATTAATACAAATTATATGGTTTCAAGATTGTAGTTTGGGATTCTAAGTCTCAGTAAGTTCATGTTTCCTACAAACAATCTATATTTCCCCTTATGTAGATAGTGAGGTAAGAGTGGTTTAACGTGGTTTTAAGGTCCTCGGAAGCTTGGTAGGGTTGACAACTTGATCTTGTTTGTCCTCAACCCTCATCATCTAGATAGACTGCTATATAGCTAGGCAAAGGAATCCGATGTGTTGAAATACACAATTGTTGACTGTTGTGGTGCATGGAGAAAGGATTTCTTCTTCTCCGTCTTCTTCATTTTTTTCGTTTCTGTACTTGAGAGTTAGGCTTGTATTGAAACCAAGGATTTCAAATGCCCCTTACGTATTACTCACCAAAAATTCATGCATGAACATGAACCTCCCTTGAAATGGTGGAATCGATTCCTATCCCGTACAATGATCTCCCTATCATAAACTTTGCTTATTAGCTTAGTAGCAGAGTGGCAATCACCACACACACGAAGGTTCTTCACTATTCGAACAGTCACCCCAGGGGCTGTGCTAATAAGCCCAAAGGCTATGGCCAACTTCTCACTATGGCGAGAAACTGCGTCTTCTTTCTCTTCTTCATCCATTTCAAATAACACTTGTGAAGTGTTAGGCACATAACCCTCGAGTTTCAACCTTCCTATCATATCATCTAACATTGCATAGATCTCAGTGCATCGAGGGTGCGAGATGTCCCCCACGACGAATTCATGGACAGTTCCATTTACCTCAATCAAACTACAACCAGGAGGTTTCTTAATGCTCTTTTCCAACATAGTATTTCGCACTCTATTAGCATCATTCCACTTCCCTAAAGCTCCATAAACATTCGATAACAAGACATAAGCTCCACCATTACTAGGGTCTAACTCTAGAAGCCTTTGAGCTGCTCTCTGAGCAATCTCAAGGTTACCGTGAATCCTGCAAGCACTAAGCAGGCTTCCCAAAACAAAAGCATCTGGTTTCATAGGCATGTTTCTTACCAATTCCTCAGCCTCAACCAAGTGGCCAGCCCTACCCAATATATCAACCATACAGCAGTAGTGCTCAACTTTAGGCTCAATCTCATACAGTCTCATCATTGAATCAAAATATTGGCGACCCTCTTCAACCAAACCTCCATGACTACAAGCCGTTAGAACCCCAACAAAAGTAATGGCATCAGGTTTTAGTCCGGTTTTTTGCATCTCTTCAAAGAGCTCTATAGCATTTTGGCCTCGACCGCACATCGAGAAACCTCCAATCATAGAAGTCCAAGTTAGGACATCCTGCTTAGCCATCCCCTTAAAGACACTCCAAGCACTATCTATACATCCACATTTCGCATAAAAATCTACTAATGCTGTACCTAAAAATACATCTACTTCTATCTTTTCCTTTTCGATATACAAATGAACCCATTTCCCTATCTCTATAGCCCCCAAATGGGTACAAGCTATTAACAAGCTCACCATTGTCACTTCATCTGGTTTCACATTCGAAACTTGCATATCGCGAAAGAGCAACAAGGCCTCCTTGTAGTCACTATCCCTGATATACCCATTGATCATGGCATTCCATGATACTATGCTTCTTTCATTCATCTCATTAAAAATTTTACGGGCAAGATCAATACATCCATTCTTTGCATAAAGATCAATCAAAGCAGTAGCTAGAATAAAATTAAGCTCAATACCATTTCTTTCTATATATTCATGAATTTGTTTACCCAATTCCAAGTCTCCAGACTTTGTGCAAGCCATCAATACATTCACTAATGTAACCTCATTTGGGCTCGCATTGGTAGAACCCATTTGTCTAAAGAGATCCAAAGCCTCCTCACTCATGTCCATTTTCGCATATGAGGCAATCATGGTAGTCCAAGAAACCACATTTTTATCAATCATTTTATCAAACACTTTACGTGCGCTTTCCAAACCATCACAGTTTGCATACATATTGATTTGAGCATTTTGTACATAGATATCCTCTTGAAAACCCAGTTTGAATACATGGCAATGGAGCATTTTCCCCTCATTGAGGTCCTGACATGCCTTTAAAACGGATGGGAAAGTGAAGTTATCAGGCAAAAACCCATCTTCGAAAATTTTTTGATAGATAGAGAAGGCTTTTGAATACAAATCCTTTATCATATAGCCCTTGATTATCGTGTTATAAGTGAAGATCGTGGGATTATGGATTTGGGTTAGGAGAAGATCAGCGTAATTGAGGTTTCCATTTGGTGAAATTGAGCAAAAGGCGACGAGCCGGCTTGCAAAGAATGGGTCATGGAAAATGCCATTTCTGAGCATTTGACCGTGGATTTGTTTGAGTTGGGTCATGTCTCTGCAAGTCTCTATGAGAAGGAGAGAAGGGTGGGTTTTGATGAGATTGGAATTGGTGGTCCAGCGTTGCTTCTCATGTGGAAGAGGAGGGGCTAAGAGGTGGGGGTGAGCTAAGAGGTGGGGGTGAGCTAAGAGGTGGGAGTGAGAGGCCAGAGGAATGGCCATGTTTCAGTCCCCTCTCTCTCTCTCTCTCCACACCAAAACAATAGTGTTCTCTCCACCACAGTAATGGTGACCTCTCTATTTAAACAGGGGCTTCAATTGCACAAAAACGGCCAACAGTCGAGAGCGTGTGCTCCAGGATGAGATGATGAATAAAAATTTGGTAATGTGTACTACGAGATTATCTATCATTGCTACAAGACGGTAACACTAAAAATAAGAACAATTGTTTCATGCGGACTGAACCGTATTTATACAAGATGCCGTCGAGGTATAGAGCATTATCTCAATGATGGATGCAAATAGTTGGTCTATCTAAAAACAATTGTAATTAATGGTGTAAATGTTTTTAATATAATTATTATTTTTTATTTTTAAAATTTATTTGTTTTTTCATATTCATGATCTTCATGTTAAAAGTTATATGTTCTCTATAAATAAAATTAAATTATATTTAAAAAGTATATTTATTGTCAAGCCCGCATTTCTACATGTACGGGCTTGGCTGCATGCTAACTGCATCTTAAAAATAATGCACAGAGTTTGAGAAGATTTTTATTGTACATTGCGTATAATCAATGGTATACCCTTAGCCATTTTTCACATTTGATGGGGAGGAATAAGTGTGATTTTTTTGTGTCAAAAGTAAATGGTTTCATCTTATATTTTTTCAAAAAAATTTACATATTTAATTTAATTAAAAACACTTATAATTTTATTTTATTTCTTCCTTAAGTTATTAAGATAATTTTTTATAGTAATTTAATTTCATGCCTACCCCTTTCTAACAATTTTTTGGTTAATACTTACCTCTCTCTTAGTAAGGAACTCTTACTCCCATCTTATAGAAAGATATAATAAGAAAGACTTCGTTTTAAAATGCAAAGTTCTTGGACAAGAAATTATGAAATAAAATAGACAAAATTAATATCGAGATTCCTAACTTGCCTCTTAAGAATGCACGAACAAAGCAGATCTGCTTATTACACCAGACATAAAAATACGTGTTTTGTCAATAGTAAGCACAATGTAAAGAGGAGAGAAAAACATGTTCCTTTTATTTCAATTAAACTTAACCCAGTAAGGTTTTACAGTTTACAAACTATCTTGAATTTTCTGCCTACACTCTCTCTAGAACTCTCTCTAGAACTCCATGACTCAATAGCCTCTATCAGGAAACGATCTTAGGCTTAATTGGTTAGTGCTTGACGATTTGCAATGCTTTGTCTTAAGCTCAATTCCGCTCAATTCCGACCAAAGGTAGTGGCCGTCTCCCCACTTAGGCATCCAAAAAAACCAACCTCTCTCTCTATCCTTTGCTTTTTAACTCATAAAACAATTTACATACTCTCTAGAATTTGTGTCTGCACTCCCTCTAGAACTTTATGGCCGAGTGGCCTCTCTCTCACTCTTTAATCTTTGCTCTTAACACAAATGGATTTACAGATTCCCTTGAATTTATTGTCCACAATTTATGTCTTGAACTCTAATGCTCAATGGCCACTCTTTATCTTTCACTCTTTAATTCTTAATACAATATGCTTGACGTGACAACATTCTCTCTATCTCTACTCACCTAATAAGTAATGTATTTAAACCTATTTATAGAATCCAGAGGGCTAAGCATGCTTCACTAATGAGTTAAGTTCTTTTTAAGTAACACCCCAAAACCCAAGACATTTCAAGACCTAATATCAACGGTACATAGACACGCATGTCAAGAATAGCTTACACTCCACCTCAATGTGTTCGGCCGTATTATGTTGATTAGTTTATGTTGACACGCTCGATTTGAGTGATTAGATGAGAATTAGTCAGAGAGGTTGACCTGATTTAAGGTTGTTCGATACTGCTCGATTAAGCAGACCAAACTGATGGTTTGTTCTTGGTCGGGTGCTCTGGACCATGTTAATTTGGTGGCCACAGTTCTTAAGTAATAGCTTTTGAGAGGTCTGATTCGGAGACCAGGATATCTAGCCGTAATCCCATGTGGCCCAAAGTCTGACTCGCCTACTGGGGACAAATCAGACCAGGATATCTAGCCATAATCCCATGTGGACGGAAGTCTGACTCACCTAGCGGGACATCATGGGTTCGTGGGGTAGAGTGCCTCCTGGACCTGCGGCTTGATGCCCTAGACCTGGATGGGGATGTGGCCATGGACACGATGTATGAATCAGGTCTCACCTAAGTTTAGTCATAAGACATGATGGTTTGTTCTAAACTAATCAAACTAGGCACACACCACCTGTAAATGTTGGAAAGTTTTACCCTAATTTTTATGGATAAAGGTTCAAGGTGGGGTTCCCAACTAGGAAATTGGGAAATACGGTTCAATCTTGGTAAGCCCACGTAGGTCCCGAGCCAACCCTTTTGGGCCATACTATGGGGTCTAACCAGAAAAATCTTTGGAAAATAGCTCAAAAATACACGAGGATTTTCTCTCTCAAAATCACTAGTAATTTTTTTCATTTTATTCCTTTTTCATTTTTTAAATGGGTAAGAGTATTGGCCGAACCCGCGAGCCACAACAAGAAGTTTGGAAGCCGAATCACAACTGGTGATTAATTAGTTCGAACCACCCTCACAATTTCTTAAATTCATAATTCATACAAGGGTTTAAAAAAACTGTGATCAAAATCTAAACCGGCCAATCCAGATCGAGAACTGGTCTAGCCCAGTCAGATCTCGCAAAATATCAAAAACCAAACGGTTCCCCTCTATGAACTGGTTGGTTCGGTTCTGTCAGAGAACTTGCCAGAACTATCCCCACTTTTATTTTTAATTTTCCTATTTTTCTAATTGGACCCGATTGTCGATTTAGACCGCCAATACATCATACCAAGCAATTTCCTAATAGCTGATCTCGGTCACCAATCTACTTTTTTAAACGTTTTATCATTAGATAAAGTATGTTATAAGACAGAGAGGAGATCAAAAACCCACATGAAATAACAAAAGATCTAAGAAGCCCTACAGACATAAATGTGTGAGAGAGCAAATTATTTACATAAAAGAATTGCGTAAAAAAGTACAAACACCGAGGCCTACTCTCTCTCTCTCCTGCTTGCACTTATTATTCTCTTATCCGATTCTCATGGCATGCTTCATAATTCATGTCCATTAATAACTCGACAATATCAATCATGTTAAAGGAAAACGTCATCCCTTTTAACTAATCCACTGACGAACCCTATTTTTTAATCAATAATTTAGTTCAAAGACACCATAACATGTGTCTAGATATTAATTTTATAATAAGATAATGTTGTAGTTCCCCTTATCGTTCATATTGTTTTTCAGCGTTTGAATACATGTGAGAACTGAAAAAAATGTTTTTAATATAAAAATAAACATCTTTTCCTGGTTTTCATCTGACTTTGGAATGATTTCTTATATTATGAAGCCAAATTTTGGGCTATGGGTTACAAAAAGACACTTAAATACAGGCTAAAATTGACATGGATCACAATTAATTTCTGGATGGGTTTCGAGTCGGCTGACTCATATGTACATGTGCGGCCCCCCACTAAAATTCACTTAGGATGATATTTTTCTAAATTTTCTTTTTGTAGATTCATCATACAAGCCAAGATGACCATAAATATGAAAAGAAAAATAAACTTTCAAAATTAAAAATATACTTTTTAGTATTTTTTTATGG